ATCCAAGGCTGTACCACGGCAGATGGTCCATAGCTGCCTTATGGACCATGGCAACTCCACTGGATCGTTTTTGGGCATTTCTAATGCAAAACGCGAATATTCATTACCGCAACACTAATTAGCAGGGAACTCTATTAACTAATGCAAAGCAATCGCGTATTTATAAGTCGCAACACTGGGAAACAATCGCGCTAATGTCTATCGCAACGCTATCTTTAACAGACATGCAATTAAAATGCAGAAAAGGGGGATTCTCAAACCGTGAATTTTTTACTCGCAACACTAATTTTATTAATTATATAATATGTACAAAAGCGTACGCGTGAAGGCTGCTCCATTATACGCAACACTAAGCTGAAAAAAAGAAAAAAGGAGAAAACGCGAACTGTAACGCAACACTAGTAAAATCTACCGAATTTTGTAAGACGCAACACTAATCTAAAAAAGGGGTACAGCCAATCCAAGGCTGTATCATGACAGCTGGTCCATAGCTGCCTTATGCAACTCCGCTGGATCGTTTTTGGGCATTTCATCATATATCGCAACTCTAATGCAAAACGCGAATATTCATTACCGCAACACTAATTAGCAGGGAACTCTATAAACTAATGCAAAGCAATCGCGTATTTATAAGTCGCAACACTGGGAAACAATCGCGCTAATATCATTCGCAACGCTATCTTTAACAGGCATGCAATTAAAATGCAAAAAAGGGGGATTCTCAAACCGTGAATTTTTTACTCGCAACACTAAAGCAATCAACATTAAAAAGCAAAACTCTAAAAAATCTTAAAGCAATCAACATTGAAAAGTTAAATTTCATTTTAAAGCAATGCAAGAAAGAAACGCGACATTTAAAGTTCGCAACACTAAATTGAAAACGCGATTTGCCCAAAATCATGGGGGTCACGGGCCCCCTCTTCTCCTGAAATTACAAAACTACAACTACAGGCGAGCACAGTGACAAAGTAGTAACGATAATGATTTCCCATCCTTTTTTGCAAAAGGATGCAAAATCATTAGTAGTTCCCCTCTTGAAAGACAGTTTGTCGGGGCGCTTCGGCATATAGCCTTTTCTTTCTTCGGGCGGTCCACCCACCTGAAACTTATATCTAAAGCTCGAGACTTGCAAATTCGCAAAACAGAAAAAAAAACAATCAACAAAAAAGAAAAATCGCGAAACTCTAATTGACACGTGGACGAAAAAGGACTTTATACATACAAGTCGTTGTTCGTGCACACGTGCCGTGCTCGAGCAGAACTTGTGGCAAAAATTTGAAAAATTGTACAGATAGAATCGAAGGCGAACGACATACTCCGATCGCATCGATGGTATCGTCAATTCTTCAAATATATTCCAGGTACAGGTTGATCACGCGAAATCGCGCCTACCCGACCAGGAGACTGTGACAACCTGTCCCGGCCCTTCCTACTTACAATCTATCACACACACCAGAAGGTATACTACCTACCTACCTAACGCTATATTTAAAAGAGGCAAAATCACATTCTCACAAAAATTCATTCCACGACCCCCATACACTCCACCCGGGCGCAAGAGCCTAAACTAGGGAGAACGTCCCGGGACGCCTCCGTCACCCGAGTTTCATCTCACATCACACTCTAAGGTACGTACCATTTTTCACTGAAATCGTCTGGCATGGATAGCAATCATTGCGTATAATGATAATTAAAAAATTTAATTAACTACTTTGATATAGAATAATCCATAGTAATGGTAATAATCATGGCAATAGTAATGATAACAATAGTATTTCGTTTATACGTTCATCGTACATCTTGTTGAATAAAATATTATTTCAAATTAAAAGTAAATGAAAAAGTTATTAAACCGACGCAATCCCACAGCCTAAAAACACACACACCATATGTGGAGATTACGTCGTGCACGATATACTAACACAATGCCAGCCGCTTATTAATTATTATTCTTATGAACTAGGTCATCGTGCCCATTGCCTCTACCCATCCAAGTAGCACCTGGGCACGTGAATGGGCTTTGGCAATAAACACGGAAGGGGTTAAACCTGAAAATCCTGATCTACAAACATGATTAATACATAAACATCTAACGGGCTAATATTTCACTATTTTAATAAAACTGACTCGACTTTGTAAATATAAAGCTTTAATAAGAAATACAGAAAAGCATAATAGAGCAACTATGACGCAAACATGGTGCACTGCTAATATCAGCTGGCAACGAAGGGTCTCACGCCCCCTAGACTTACGCCAGACGCTACATACCACCCACCCCGCCTGGACGTCGTAACGCCAGGACAGAGTGCACCCCTTCGCTAAGAGCGCTACCCGCCCGTCCAACACGTTGCATCCAACGGTGTCAGATTGACGGACGCCCATAGTATAGACAAAAGGACTGCAGTTTAAAATATGGTAACATATTTTCATATGTTCCGTATTCTAAAGCTGCGCCTGCAAAGGCCTAGTAATGCATGGGTATATCTCCCAGAGATGGTGTTCACGGTCTTATGCCGCGGAATCCTTCTAACTAATTTCATTAATTAAATAATAAAAAGGATTGAGTTTAAAAACCAAAAGGATTCCCACCGAATACTAGTCAGTGCATCGTCATATTTACTCTCGCGCTGGAAATTTTTCGCAACACTAATTTAAGAAATGCAAAATTTTAATAAAAAAGAATTTAATGTCTTTAATTAAGAATTCTTTGCAATGAAACAAGAATTTGTTGTGAAAATTAATAAAACATCCTCGGGCGACTCCCTCCTCAGAGTAAATTTTCAAGTATACGCAAAATGTGTTGAAATAGATCACTCTGACTTGGAAATCTACCCGTCACGAATTGTCTTCTTGCACATAAATTGTTCAATTTTTCATGAACTTTACTACTCGGAAAAAATTCTCAAATTATATTTGAATTTACAATATACAAAATGTAATTAAATCAATGTAAAAGCATAATTAATATGTATATCTGATATACATATTATAAAACCAATATTATATCGATTTCAATCTTTATGATAACTAAATCAAATGGTATCTGACTTCTCCGTTAAAGAAAAACTAAATAAAATTGTATATGTATTTACTTAATTTGAAAATATTTCATATTCCACGTTTTATTATAAAATTGTAACATGAATATTTAAAAGCATTCAAATATTTCATAAATATCTATATGGAATATGTGGAATAGAAATAATATTTAAACGCGAAGTGCAAGAAGACCTAGCCTGAACTAAATGAAATAAAACACAATAAAAATGATACTACACATGAGTATAATCATACCCATGGTCACTATGCTCGCCAACCACGTATACAACTGGTAACCCGTGTCGATTCGGACCATTCGTCCTACGACATGAGTGGGCACCAGAGGAACCATAAAACATGCGACTCACCGTTCGCAGATATACTCTTCTTCCGACAGTCAAACACCAAGTAGGAGGCTGCCTTGTAGGAGAAGACGGACGTCGTGAAGAAACCCATCAAGGATGTCCATCTGTAACAAAAAAAAGAAGAATTACGGTTAATTTTAAAAATAATCAATTCTTATTGTAATAAAATTATATATAAAGTTGAAATTGTAAATTATTCTATTTTAATAAAAAGCAATTAAGTAAAGTAATAAGATACTTACGTTCTTTCGCCCAAGACGGAAGTCGTGAAGAATGCCATCAGGATATCCAGGAACTCGGCAAAATAAAAAAATTCATCTGTAACAAAACAAAAAAGAATTACGGTTAATTTTGCAAATTATCAATTTTTATTCTAATAAATTTATATATGAATTTGGATTTTATAGCAATTAAAAAGAACTCTCAATTATTAAACGTTGAAATTGTAAGTTATTCTATTTGAATTAAAATTAATTAAAGTAATAAGATACTTACACTCTTTCCTTATGGAGCAACACCCAAGACTCCTCTTCAGTGATGTATTGACTCTACTACCGGATATATCGAGCATTTAAAAAAAAAAAAAAAAATTAAAAATAAAAATAATGATATAAAGTACTAGTAACGCGACCGTAAATAATTTCCGGCGAACAATTGTAGACTCTACTTCCGCGATGGAAAAAGAACAATCAGAGCCGCGATGCTCTAGAAAATATTTTATAATACGCAGCAAACACTGACTCTACTTTCGCGTGATTCCTAATTATTGTACAAACGCAACTCTATTCAGGGCCAGTTCACCCTTGACAAAATCAAAACATTGGAATTACATGCGTACAAACACTGACTCTACCGACCGCCTTGCGCGCGGCCACAACAATTCCTGGAAAAAAAGATTGCTGAGGAGGTTGGGGATGGGTGGAAATATACAAAACAAAACCAACATTCTTCTTATTGAACGTTCGTTAATGAAATACTGTTATTACGTGTAAATGAAATAATGAGTGTTCGTGAAATATTTTCAACAGACACGAATATTATTCAAGTTGAATATTGATCCTAGACTATATTGTAATAATGAAATGTTTTATATAATTGTTGATAATTATTTCAATGAATATTATATACATAGATAGAAAATCATAGTTAAATAAATATAATAGACAATATAATAGTGGATTTCTGTTGTTAAAATTGTAAGCACAATAAAAATTGTGAAAAATTCTGTTACGTCGCGATTTATAAATTGTCAAAATTTTTTTCGATAAACAAAGTCCAATAATTAATCATGATTAAACAGCATGTGATTTAAAAACGAGATTCTATTTTAATTTATACTTGCATCGAAAGCTGGATATTATAATATAATTACTACGATTTAACAAAAATAGATTGTTTAAAATAATTTATAATTGCAGAAGAGAAGCAATCATTTGCAGTAAAATACGAATTATCTCAATTTTGTTCTAATTTAAAACAAATGTATTAAAATGTTAGACGAAACTATTTAATAAAATGAAAAATTAATTATTCTTTTTCTATGAATTGATTAAAGAAAAAAAATATCTCTAATCTTTTCTTTCTTGGTACCTTGGTATCAATTAATTATCAACAATGCTTACAATTAACAACAACGACTCAATGAAAAAAAAGTAATAATAAACGTTAATAATTGATTAGAATAAATAAAAACAATAAATTCTTACGAAATTCTATTTCAAACCCATATCAGGAGTCGTGGCGTCCTTTCAAAATCTATCAAATATCTGTAATAAAAAAGAAATACGAATTTATGTAAATAAAATTTAATCAACAATAATAAGGTTATTATTAATAAACGATCCAACTATAATTGATACAAAATATTTTAATGGATACAATGTGTACCTATTATTTATGCGGAAGGATGCTCTCAACACGTCCTGTCAGTTCGACTCTCGAGAGAGCAATGGCGAGACCTTCCTTCCCATCGTCTACCGGTCGGCACTTCGGCAACGCTCGGCAATGTTCGGTATATTCTGCTATCGGCCGATACCTAACCAAGTACACGAACAGGTCTAAACAGAAATAATATTACGATGCTCAAGAAAAAACGTTATTAAATTAAATACAGCAAATTGTGTGAAACAATACGAAAAAAATTGAATAATGTTCAAGAAATGACTGGTATAAAGGGAAAATAATTCAGATTCTATTCTTCCAACTTCATTGTCAATTCAAGGCAATTCAAGAGCAAAAAATTTTAACTCACGTATTTCTAAAAATAACCTCGAATTAATGTCAAAAAACAAAGAGCTAGACTTCTCTTCGGCTATTCTTTCTCTTTTTTGTATTTTCAACACCCGAAAGACAATTTAATTTAATATTTGAAGATAATTTAATCTTACCTGTTGCAGACACGTGAAAGACGGACGAAGCTTCAGAGAGGACTGATGCACTGCGCCACAAATCGACGCACTCGCTCACACAACGACGTGTCTGATTGGTCGAAATGAGAGGACGCCAACATGGCGCGACCAATCACAGCCATCGATAGAAGTTTCAAAGTGCTTCGAAACTTTAATGCTAATCGTAAGGGAAAGGTTCGTTAAAAATTATCGACGCCATATTGAAATAAAATGAAGATTACTTTTCTCAACTTTAAACAACATAATATAAGAAACAAAGTAGAAACAATGTAAGATATTGACGGGATTTAAGAAATTATTGATATAAAAGCAGAATAAATGAAGGAAATGTATCTAATTTAATTCATATTTATATCGGCGTAATAGTAAAAAACGAGAAAATCAATTATCACGATATATAATAACAAATTACGGGAAAAATCTACTAAAAACATGAAAAAATGCAATAATATTCGAATAATTATTGATATAAAGGGAAAATAATTCAGATTCTGTTCTTCGAACTTGATTGTCAATTCACGGCAAGAGCAAAAAACTTCAACTCACGTATTTCTAAAAATAACCTCGAATTAATGTCAAAAAACAAAGAACTAGACTTCTCTTCGGCTATTCTTTCTCTTTTTTGTATTTTCAACACCCGAAAGACAATTTAATTTAATATTTGAAGATAATTTAATCTTACCTGTTGCAGACACGTGCAAGACGAACGAAGCTTCGAAGAGGAATGCTGTACTGCGTCACAAATCGACGCACTCGCTCACACAGCGACGTGTCTGATTGGTCGAAATGAGAGGACGCTAACATGGCGCGACCAATCACAGCCATTGGTAGAAGTTTCGAAACTGTAATGCTAATCGTAATGGAATCGTTCATACAATAAATATCAGCGAAAAAATCGAATAATGTACTTTTTTTAGCAACACCCGTCTTGCGAAATGTTAATATGTACAAAAATTATAATCGAGCTGCGAATGAGCGCGCGGTCGAGCGCAGAAAACGAACGAACTGCGCCCTACAGAAAAAAGGAGGAACTAAATTTCTGGTCTGTTTTACCTTTTTGAACACAATCCACTGGTTTTGTTGTTTTTTTTGTTCCTTTCTTTTATCTTTTCTAAAGCAAAGCCGATCGACCTGATCAGCTTGATCGACTCTGGCTTGAATATATCTTAATTCTTTTATCGATATTTTTAATATTTTTTCTTATTTGTCCATATTGACAGGACGAATGGACGATTAAATGAACCGTTTGCAACCCTGAATAAATATAGATATCGTGAAATAAACGAGATCGTTGATAATTACGTCATTTTAATTGATTATTAAAATACATTCGATTGGTTATAATGTTCAGATAATGATATCTTCATTCCCGTCATACGACGAAGAGCTTTTAAATAGCGCCTATGCGAACATTAGTCTAATAGCAGACAAAGCGTGGACGTTTGACAAAGAAGACCCCTTTCAAAAATTGAATCAATCACTGTGGATTCAGGTGAAATTTATCAATGATTATTTAACCCTTCACTCGTATTAATTGAAATGTAAATTTTGATAACGATAGTATCATAAGGTGAGCGTAAAATATAAAGAAAATGTCGATTATCGAGCGAAACGCGTCCGTGACGTTATTCCGGAATCTCGTTTGGCCATTTACGGTAATTACGAGTACAACGAGGAACGTGAAGCCACGTATAAACCGGAAGACGGGAAAGGATCTACTCCATTACGAAATTTCTGCTGGACGGAAGTTAGCGAGTCGTGGATGCTACCCGACGTCGAAAAGTACTTCAGCTGGTTAACTTCTCACCGGTCACGCTCGAATCATGAATTGTTAGTTTGCCATATTAATTTTTACAATAACGTATACCCCATTGAAATTGCAAAACTAACATTACCAAGTTCGAAAATTAGAACACCGGAAGTCGACGATGCATCGAAAATCGCGTCCAGTTTTAAATCAGATTGGGACGACTTGCAGAATAAATACAAGTTGAGCCAAGAATCGAGAAACGCGTCACGCTTAAGCAAGGAAATTGGTAATATATTAATTAACCATTACCATCCCGTTTTAAGTTAACCAACTATTCTATTCTTGAAGAATCGGATGCTGGCGAGAAAGCCCAGCATCAACGATACACGATAGAAAATTCTATGGAGATGCAGCTGCACATTCGCGTAACCAGCGAAGCGGTTCGAAACCTATGGAAATTGGGTAGCAACGTTCATCGACAATTCGTTCAACAAAGAACACGTTTGCAGTGTTATCATCAGTCACAGCAACCTCTCACGAATCCTCGGGAAAACTGTCTTGGCAAAGAACGTCCACAACAATTTTATTATACTTTTCAATATAGACCTCTGATATTCAGAACAGAATATCAAACTGCGCGTACAGAAACCTATGGAATGTCCAGCAAACACTTGCCGCCGGTTTTGAGCCCAGAAGTACCTGAATTTTTCCCAAAAGTACCCCCCATTGTCAGATTAAACAAGGAACAGAATACTAGTCGACTTCAGTATTTCCCATCCCTTAACGAAAGAAGTTATCAAAATGAATTGTTCCCGTATAATAGAACTCACGGGAACATTGGAACTGTGTATCAGGTTTGGTCAAACATTGGTCACACTTATCGTCGTTTTACAATTCGGCAAATTAATAATTATAAATATAAATATCATTTTTCAGAATACCGGAATACCATTATTACCAGCTACAGACACAACAACTACGTTTATCCGACATCCCCCACAATGGTACCAAAGAATGATACCACCCTCTAGCCAGATACACATATCCAGCTCTACTTCACCACCTCGAATGTGTACCTCGATACAACCATTAAGAGCTACCACCATTACTCATCATCCCTTACAAGTAGGTACAAGTAACATCCCTGACACGTAACAATCTCGTTTTATAGCCGATATTTTTATACATATATATATATATATAAATGATACAGGTACAAGAAAAATTTCTGCAACCAAACCCCATACCGATACCGGTATACCAACACCCTATAGAGCTGTATCATGAAACTGGTCAAAAAAGAAAGAACCAAGGTGTTGATTTTAAAAACCTAATATTATTAACGAAAAACGCGATGAAAGCTCATCGTGGTCAATCGAAACAATCTCATGAAAAACCTACCTACGTACTAGAAACTAGAAATAGATCATCTAAAACAGAATCACAGATGTTTCGTTGGTTGGATAAAAGCTGTTCATCGAAAACAAGAGAGTACGGTTCTAGCAATACACTGGTTTCTGAATTGAGTAACTTTGATGGAAGAAACGAGAGAAGAAGAGCAGCATCAAGTTCGAGAAGAGAAAAGGATGGATCAAAGAATAACGAACGTTTAAAGACAGAAATCGGCATAATCTCTAATCAAGAAGGCTCAAGTACGACGAAATCTAATAACGAGAGAGATCAAAAGGAAATTCGAAACAGAAGAAGACTTTATAGAGACGTATTGACGAATGCTTCGGTGAATCAAACTATGTTTGAAAACGTATTTGAGAAAAGGTACAAAAGCTCTTAATTATAATTATATGAATATTTTGTTTAAACTCATCAAAATTTTCAACTTAAAATCAGGTACGACGAATTAGAGAAACAAGCAATGGAACAGTACAGAAGCTCGGAAGAATCTTTGGCGCTTAAATATCAAGTACGTATAATATTGTATTCTATTTGACTTACCTTGAAACTATTCACCTTCCTCGATGCATCTTGTCCAACTTGATCTTCGTTGATGCCACTTTATCCAACTTCATCCTCCTCTTGTCCATACATACACGCACACGCACGCATATCCATACAAACGAAAACGCAAACGAGAACGAATACGAAAAGAGAAATACTGGATAGTTTGAGGACGATTTCGTTGTAGGAACTCGAACGTCAAGCGTTGGAACAATACCGATGTTGTGGTAACGTACAAGACGATGACTCGATGGATAGTAAACAAATCAATGAGGACTCGACGAGAAACGTGAAGGATGCCAGTTGCTTTGACGGACAAAGGTGTTCTGGTTTTGGAAGGTGTAGTCCTTTGAACGCTGAGGAAAAAGAGGAAAGAGGTTATCAATTTTTTTTTTTTTTTCTCTCTAAACATAAAGGATGTTTCAAAAAAGATGTACATTTTGATGTTTTTGAAACACCCTGGGTGTATAAAGATGATGATTCTGTAGAATTAATTGACGAACAATTACGGACTGTTTCTTAGATTCTTTTTTGCAAAGTCAAGATAATGTTGCGCGAACGGAAACTAAAAGGGAACCGGTCAATTCTGGACGACCCTTGTACGATACGAGCCCCCGATCGACTGTCCTCTCGAAAAGTTTTACCGCCATGTCCGAAAAAATTTCTTATGAATCGAAAAACACATGTAAGGGTGCATCAGGTGATAAAACCGGTAAACACGGTAAATATGCAAGCATATTTTTAAGTATTATTATTTCTCTAATAAGTATCGTGAAAGAATCATTGTAGTTTCAGTGCGAACGTCATCGAAAAGGCGTCTGATACTGGTGTCACCCTTCGAAAAAGAATCAGAGGCTAAACTAACGAGGACAACCGATCTAGAAGAATTTTATTGCATCGCTCAAGGGAGTAAAAATATTTTTGGTTACTATAATAATTCCAAAGTTGGACAAATCGGGGCTGGAGATGAAAATATTACTTTTATTCAATCTCCTAGAACGGAAGGTATAAGTTACTAAAATATTTCAATGTGAACAAGAAATTGCGGGATATCGCATAATATATACCTTTTCCTTTAGTCTGGCTCTCAGGTTTTTGGACGACATAGAAACTGGACTTCAGGATAGTCATTCAAGGAGATACGAACCTTGTAAGGGCAATTCATTGAAAAGATCAATTATTATATAATCCATGAAGTAATGTATTTTTAAATATGATAATAAATGCTTCAATACTGTATAATTTACATGTATATTTTTAATCAAAATAACTGGACATACTTTAATTGTTATTAAACACACAAGCACGACCCGTAGCACACTAACATATGTATATAATATTTTTATGAAACAGCAGATGATCGTTACTAAAATTATTCCAAACTACATACTAAAATTATAATGAACCAAAAAAGTTATTATAATTATCCTATGTAGATTATACAATATTTTTAATTATTCGATCGATATAAGTCATGTAATAAATGTTGCTACCCTTTGCTTTAAAAATACAATGTACATATAGTTAAAAAATCAAATAAAATAGCCTATTCAGTCTTTTCATACTCTGAATAACAACAGTAAACGATTACGTTGGGAGGACACATTCTAGCTGTAAAAGTTCTTTAAAATAAGAATATAAATATAAAACGACTATCAAAATATTAAATGTTTATAAAAACAAATTCTCTGATTAATGTATCTATGTATACATTATAGAAACAAATAATTCATATTATACATATTGTATGTTACATATACATGGTCCGACCGAATAACATGTAAAACAGGACACCGCGTGATTCTTTACGAAAAAAAAATAATAAATAAATAATAATAATAATAATAAACAAATACAGAAAAATGTTATTCTCTATATTTATTTTTTTTTTTCTTATTTTTTCAGAAAAGAATCACGTGGTGTCCGCTTTTACATGTTATTCAACCGGATCCTGTATAAAATATAAAAATCTTTTTACATTCGATATGCATACATTTTATCCATGGTTTAACTTTTTCTATAACCACATCAGGATTATCTTATAGAAATATAATTTGAGATCATAAATTGCATTATAGAAATACTAAAAGCTGTGTCTTCTAAAGCAATATTGATCTGTATCAATATGATAATAATAGTTTAGGAACTAAAATTGTACAAATGTATGTTAATGAAATACTATAATATAAATATAAATATAAATATAGTTAGCTAATCTACCAATTATCAAGAAATTCGAAACCAGTCTTTGGTATAGTTCTCTCTTCTTCTTCCTCCTGATTCAACTGAGAAGACTGAAAGCTATTATAAGAGCTAGGTGTCTCTAACAATGCGGTCGATTCGTTAATATCACTCGATTTCGTACGCGACATCACTACTAACGTATTTGACTGACTTTTATCAGTATCTGAATCTCTTTCTCTAACTAAACTCTCCATATCATCTGCTAGATTATTTTGTAATTTTAATAACGATGTTTTATTCATTAATTTAGTAAATATGCTCTCAGAATGATCATTCTCAATATTCCCCTCTAACAAGCCACTACACTGTTCATCCCCAAAAATACCATTGGGGAAACAATCAGATTGAAAGCAACTAACTCCAAGGGGCAAAGTATAATTGTCATTAAGGGAATTCGAGTTGTTTCTCTGTGATTTGGCTGGACTTGAGAAACGCGATGATTCCCCAAACTGAGCTCTTATCAATTTAGACTTTACATCTTCAGTTGAATCTATTACACTGAGATTCATTTGTGATTGAGTCATGAATGAAAATGGAGCTGAATGTTCATCTCTCCATCGTAATGTCTATAATATCACATTGAAATGAATTTTTCTAACTAAAATACTTATACTATTACTTTTATATAAGAAATAATTTAATCCTTCATTATTCAATGTACAATTAATTAAATTTATTTTTGAGATTTGTCACATGTTTAGAGACAAAAAAACTAGACAAAATTACATTTAATTCATTAAAATGTTAAACAGTATAGATTTAATAGTATACTTACAGAACCAGTCTCGTCGATGACATATTTCATTCCAGTCTGAATTCTTAACTTTGGATACCATTCTGGTATTTCTTTATTAAGTTCAGCTTTTTTTAAAGCATATTTCAAGGCAACCTCTGGTTGAATTATAGTTTCATTGATTGCTTGATTTTGTTCTGCTATACTTAATGCATTCCACAGACCCTCGTAGGCTTCCTTTGTTGCTGTTATATCTTCTCCAATTCTTTGAGCCAAAGGATTTATACTGTAGAAATACTGTTCAGCTCTTGAACTTAAAGCAGCACTCATATCGCTATTGTTAAATTAATATGAATCAAGTATCTGCAAAAGAAACAAACATATTTTTTTCCAAAACAACATGAAAAAGATAATAAATTACATCATCAAGTAATAAAGACCCGATTAAAGTAATAAAAGTACCGATTAAACAATACAATCATAGGTTATAGAAATACTTAAAAACGATTGTGGAATAATTAAACGATTATGGAATGATTAAATAATAGAAAATACAATTACATGCAATAAATGGAAACTACGTGAAATGAATTCATGCAAATATAAGTAATTATTCACTAAACACTGCTTACACAACGAATCTCACTTCTTGAGATTCCATAACGAACTACCGGAAGTATAGTATCGAATAGGATAGGCTTCCGCAAAAAAAATGGCGGGTTTTCGACCGACCCCTTATAGGATAGGGTCCCATATACAGGGCGTACGGTTACAGGTGGGCATCCTTTGATGAAATAGTGGCTTTCGAACAACTTTTTCCTTTAACAAAATGCTCGCGAAGGCTTATTATTTGAATTATTAATGGAAAACACCGAGCAATCAGAGCGCGCATAACGCGCATGCGCAGCTGTAAAAGTCGGTTACGAACCGACGCGACGCGACGCGACGCACTACTGTGAGTAAGTAAGTACTTAATTTGTTCGTAGCTTTTAATATTAATATCGTTAAAATTAAGATTTCGAGAATTCTTGCTTTCTCCTGCAATATCATTTTCCTGAGAATAGCCTATCTTACTCGATACTGTAAATACATGTATCAATTATACAAATTCTGTATTTAAAAAATTTCAAAGGTATTATTTATTATCGAAGAACAATATAATCAGTCAGTAATAACAAATTTATTATTAGTTAAACACATTCCTTACGTACATGAAAAGTTCATTTATCCGTTGAAATTAAACCGGAAGGAAATACACATTAAATCAAGGTTTATTGCAGCATTTTTATTACTTATTCTTTCAAAACAAGAAACTAATAAACAAATTTCAAAACATAATATGGTATTTAATAGCAAAATTTGTGAAACTTTTAAACTTTCTTATAAATTGAGAATAATATAATGCCCTGTTATTAGTTATACAACTAAATGTCATTAAAATTATCATATACTTCTTTTATTATCATACAAATATATACAATGTCGTTATTTTTTAAGTCAGTTCTTGTGTCTTTAGTAACCGTTTTCGCTTCCTATAATTTAAACGGAACAGATAGTTTACTTATTAAAATATAGACGGTACAGAAAGAATGATAATTATTTACATACAACAATGTTTAACAGGAATGATAATAAATAAAAAGTATGCATGTGATACAAGGATTATACTTAATGCTGGTTATTTAAACCTTACACAATTATTAGTATTTTAGTAAACATTTCACGTACAAACGAGCTTTTAGTTGTGATCCTTCTCTTTACAAATATACATTTACAACCGGTTGTGTATTGGAATAATCCTTTAAATAAGAAATAAAATAGTTTGACAAAAGAATAATTAATTCTTGTAACTTTATCGTATCAACTCTGCACGCATTTTCTTTTTTAATAATCGCATTCAAAAAACGGACGTAGTTTAACAATATGAATCTTTTAAAGCATCCAAGATACACCATATTTCTTAATTTACTGATTAGGTACCTTGCTGGTGATTCTCATATTGTGTACACAAATGTTTCCGTGTCTGATTTGAAATATTCATTTAAAAAAAAAAAAAATAATAAAAAATAAAATTAAAAAAAATATGCTTATTTTTGTATAGTAAAATCAATACGATTCATTAAAATTTCGGGAGCTTAAAATTTCTTCTCTAGTCTCGTGAATAAGAACTTCACAGGTGACATGTTACATAGAATATGATCTCTTTCTCTAGATCAAGAAAGGGTGGCACTACATCTTGGAACCATAGTTTACCTGTACGGCATTCGTAATCTCAAAAATCCCGACGAATACGTAAGTTCTTGTTTAATATCTTTATTAAAAAAAATATACTAATAGAGACGATGATTTACACGCAATTTGAATAGCGTATATAAACTTTGTTTTCATTACATATGACATATATTCTATCTTCTCATAGTGATTATGTATTTCAAATCTTGTTCTGTATTATTTCTAAAATTAACACGACCACCTTTTCAACCCTTATTCCAAATACTGTATTGCTTTAGAATTACATAAACTAATGATAATAACAACGTAAATAAAGGAAAGAAATAGCCAAAATAACGAAGAAACAAAACAAAACAAAACAGAACAGAACAGAACAGAACAGAACAGAACAGAACAGAACAAAAAAATAAATTATTGAATTTACTTGTGTTTCAATTAAAAATATTTAAAAAGTTTGATTTATGTTGCCTGTTAATCTGTGAAATAAAAATAAAAAATAAAAAAAAAAATAAATAAAAAAAATGATCAGTTATTGCAAATAGGCAACATAATAATACTCATAATAAGCAATCACTACTGATGAAGAACACGAAGATATTTGTTACCACGGTAAAAAAAAGTAAAAAAACATAAACTAAATGTAAAATTGTCCACAGTTACCTGTTTGACAAGTGTTTCAGAGGACCTAGGCTTAGAATAGATGTAGCACCAAGTGCACCTAAATTACAAGTATTAGGATTTCGTGCACCGTCAATCGTAATAATCGGTAAGCCAAAATATCCGCCTGTTTGAGCACTAAGCTGTGACAGCGGGATGTAGCTTTGTATACCAAGGTTTGATAAACGATTCAACACGTGAGGAGATTTTAAATCTACAACCGGTAACGCTAATTCCGCGCCACCATTTTGTGCTACGGTATCAACTTCCTTATGATACGCCTGTTTATGCGTTGACAGCGCTTGAGCTGTCGGATATTGGGCAGGACAGAGATTACATCTAATGACAAACATTATTTGATATATTATTATCCGAAATAATTGTGTAAAAAAAAATATTTTTAAGCATACTTACTTGTGAAGTAGTTTACTTGGCGCACGGTGAGTAGCCATGTGCTGCGTCAACATTTCTTGATTCTGAAAACTTTTGTCACATACCTGACAAGTAAGCAATGCCCTACAACAGTAAACAATATTTTGTTGTTGTTGCTGTTGTTGGTGGTAGTGGTGGTGGTGGTGTTGTTGTTATTATTATTAAATATTAGAATAATGACAAATTTCCTGTGATATGCTTTACCGTGGAGGTCTTCCGCGTCTGACAACTGGCATTTGTGGTGGAGAATCTTGAGTTAAATCTACAGTGGGTGGTCTCGGTGGTCTTTCCACTTCATTCACAGCTGTTTTATTCTGTTTATTCTGAGGAACAGCAAATTGGCCCTGTTCTGGTTGCTTTTTTTGTGAATGAGCTGGTATGATAGAAATAGCAGAATTCAGAGTGAGCGCTGTAAAATTTAAAGGCTGCTGTGAAGATGTAGTCTTCTGTGGCTGGGAAGGTATCTGCTGTTTGTTTTGTTCGCTTGATTTATTTTTATTTGCTGCTGGAGTAACAGTAATACCTCGGGCTGCTAGTACATTCGCCACAGCCTTAGCATCGGACTTCTTGCTACCGGCACTTGATGTATTCTGCACTTGAGCTGGAGCGGAACCTTTAGATTAGTAAAATATGTTTCTTTTTATTCCCGCAATGCACCTCTTCCGCGAACAGTTATTTATTTTAATTTTTTTGTTTATGATACAATCAAATAAACATATAAAATTTATAACGATAAATGGTAAAAGAAATTTATAAAAGCATCAAAATCAAAACTAATTCTTAGAAGAGGTATTCAAGTAAAGAAACATAAACGATATAATATTATATCGTAGATTAAAATACATTTGATGAAATATTAAAAAGTACCTGGCTGTCGAACACTGAGGGTTATAGAATCCGTAAGATGTATCGTAGAATCGTTTCTAGCCTGTTGAGTGGTAGCACCTTGAACATTTTGTATAACTGGCAAACCGTCATTTCGTTTTTGTTGTGCAATAACGTGACAGTCTGCGTCTTCGTTTCTGTCTGGCAATAAAACGTCCAATCGTCGTTGTTTTATAGCTGAATTATTTTGTTGTTGTTGTTGTGCTTGTGTTTGTTGCAATGGACGTTTCATACGTTGCCGCGGAGTGGATCCATTCTGTGGTATCCGCGGTGTCCTACAAATGCATAAATGCAAATTAAACTGTTTAATACTTTTTCTAAAGAACGGTTTATCATTGTCTGTTTGTATCATGTAAATCTGATATTCTTTTTACAAACAATTTGTACATGTTCATGTTTATTTCATCAATAGTACTTGCCGACTACTTTGCGCAACGGTAGGATACCTTCCGCGTGAAATTTGTTGAGACAATTGAGGATGCATTTGTGGCGGCGCACTCATTTGCGGATATGGACCCGGCCCGTATTGCGAATATAGATGTGCTATATGAGGAGGATAATGCATGCTCTGTGGACCAGGAACCCTATACAGTGGAGGCCTTCCCGGTGGCTGTACAAAATAATTTGGGCCAGGGATCATTGTATTAGCACCTGGTGGAAGACTTGGGGGCATTTGCGTTTGCGGAAGTGGCATACGTTGTACTTGTTGAGCTAATTGTTGTACAGGTGCAGGTAATTGCTCAAAGTTAACAGGTGGTAATATCTGCTGTCCAGCATTGGATACTGAATTGTATGTAGGCGAATTTGTTTGATGCGGAGAGTTTAAAGGAGAAATCCTATTTATTTGCTGCGAATTTGGTGTGTTTGGAGATTCCATCGAGGTTGCATGAGGCGAGTGGGTATTCAATTGTGGAGATGCTTGACTCAAATGAGGTGAATTTTGATTTAAATGCGGCGAACTCGCATTTAAATGAGGAGACAATTGGCTCACACTCGGAGATAAAGGTGTTCCATGCATTTGAGCCTTATGCATAGAAACTTCTAACGGTGAATGAAAAATAAGATTAATACATTCAGAAATATTGCACTGATAATGTCCAACTTTGCTACGATGCTCATCGAGGTGAGCTATATCTTTGAACTTCTCGTTACAGACACGGCACGTACTGACTGTCTCGGCTAACTTTTCAAGCGAAACGTATTCCGTTTCTGGCGGTAAATTATTTGATAACCTTTCATTCTGATTGTGCCTTTGATGGTCGATCAAGTTTTGTAACAACGACCCAGCATTTTCCATATTATTATCACCCCCATGATCAGACTGTTCATCGCTTTCTTTAGGAACCTCATTATTTTTATTATTCAAATTAGCAGATAACTGATTCCAATTGAAACCTGTTGCACTTTCTGTTGAATTATCAGGTTTATCCTCGTTTTCAGATGAACAATTTCCTGAATGGTTTAAAAATCTAGAAGAGTTTGTTATAATACTAATAGTTGGATTTTCCTCCAAATCATCGGTCATGTTGGTTTCGTGTCTTCTATCATCGTCGTCTTCGATACTTGAATTGTCAATTAATTGACTCATAGGCCTAGATCTGAAACGTTAAGTAACGCATAATGTAACAAATAATAACAGCTTATAAAAGAAGCGCTAGAACGTGCAATATTACCCAGATTGTTCGCCAAGTTTTCTCAGGTTTTCAATTGTTTCTCTACACGTTGCTTCCAATGCGTCTGATTCTTCATGGTCCTCTCCTTCGGAAAGTCTTTTATCCGAGTTGTCATACTGGCCTGTACTTTGTAAATCATCTACATTTTGATCTTCTTTTTCAGATGGATTTGCCATATCACTCCCTACACCTGAATCACCTTCGTTTACATCTATGGATGGTCTATCATTTTCTTCCAATAGATTATGGTCATGGGTATCAAATTTAACGTTCCCATATTCATCCTAAAAACGATACATTTTTGTATTTGCAAAACTGTAACATTTAATTTTTCTTATATTCGCTATTAGAACATACCTGCTGTTCTACCATCACCTGTTTAAGTTTAAACGACTGGATAGTCGTATTTTCTGTATTTTTATCGTGCGTTTGATCATTCTCTTTTGCCGCAGCCACGTCTTTTGTACCCAGATTAATGTTGGTGTTTACAACAGTAAAATCTTTGGATTCAGGTGATTTTTTAAGCGTAAGTTTAAGCGAATCAGACAAACTTTGCTTTTTTAATGTTAGCTTCAAAGATCCCTTTTTCTCTGGATCAAGCCAATACGTATTATTATATTTTCTTTTTATGCTTTTCAGATTTGAAATTCTTTTCAATACTATCCGTGGTCTTCCTAAATGTGTATGTATGTGAATACGTAACTGTTTCTTTGATATAAATTGTTTTCTACAAATTTCGCAATGTAACAATGGAATTTGTAATGAAAATACTGAGTTCTGATCACTTATATGTTCACCTGAAATGAAATATTCCAGTAATTACATCACATTCACCTCTTCGTTAAAAACAAAACTGTTTATTACTGTTGAAAACAAACAAGTAACACAAATACAAGACATCTAACAACCTTTTTGAATAAAAACCCCGAAAAAATTGTCAACTTGTTAATTTGCCGCGCTTTCGTGTCTTCTGTCAAATCGACTAAACTTGTATCGTTGTTCGTTATAAAGTCTGTGAAAGTTACACATCAGTTATATCCATACACATTTCGTATTTCAAAGGTTCGCTCGTTCGGTCAGTGTATCAACGCGCGTCCCCCGTGTTACAACGGATGTAAACAATCGATGCCGATGTATACGCAGCAACAGCAAGTGTTCACGCAAAATGGTTGCAGACAGTAGACAACCGAGCGCAAGCAATATAATTGCCTTTGCTTTTGCCGAGAATTGAAAACGGGACTCTCCAATCGATATTACCTAAAGAATGAATATCATTGGTTCAATTCGTATTAAGAAAAATTCCCGCCGTAATGTATGTAGCTCGTGCTAAAATGCATTTCGCGTGATTACAACGAGACATTAACTCATTTTTTAACGATCATAAATGATAACACACGTTGATCTATATAAACTGACTTGCTAAAGAAATTGATGGAATATTTCTAAATCGATTGGAGAAAAGTATTAAAACAGAGAAAGGATGTCTTTTTAAGTACATGCATACATACATACCATACATACATACATACAATAGGGTAAAGTATTTCATTTTATCGATGGTAGAAACGATACATCAATTTGTGTTTTATTAAACTTAAATAAAAATATCAATTATATTGTATCCGTTTTATATTAACGTGTTTAATAACATTAATTTTTCAGTATCAAACCGTTCCTAACCTTTCCTCGAAAATACAGCATTTTTTCTTTTTTCTTTTTATATAAAACCACATCAAATTTATCGTAATTATATTTTTTTTTTAGTTATAATGTTCAACATTTATTTCATTGAATAAAGAATGAAGGATACATTTTTATAACTACAGTAAGATTTTAGTAGAAGAATTTATGGGACAGGTATACAAACCAAAAAACATAAAACATGTTGCAGTAACAATATTTTAACTTTTTATAAGGCTTTAGAAACTATTTTTGAGTTAAAATATATGGCTAATCAAACAAGGATGGAATATTAAATTTGATAAATGCAGGTTATAAGCTTTAAACTATATGTATATATATATATATAGAGAGAGAGATGTTGATGCATCATTTGTTTATCATATACATAATGCATTTAATATTCTAGGAAAAAACATACCAAATCTTTGTATATCGTCCAGTGCATCGTCCTTCCAAATTTTGTTCTCATCAGAAAATTTGAATTCTTCAAAATCTGGATCTAATGAATTGTTCATTTCCAATCTGTAAGTAAAGTTAATGACTTTTTTTTATCATTACATAATATAAATATCGCATGTAACTTGTTAACAACAATGTTACAATTATTAATTAACATTGCTGCATGTCATACTTACAGGCATTGTTATTAACAATGCAAATTGTCATAAAGTCAGCAACAAAGATTTATCTTGATATAAATAACTATTCATTAACATTTAAATACAGTGACAAAAAAATTGTGTAATCTGTTTCAGTAAATAGTTCACATATTTTTCACGTGTACGATAATAATTTTTAATCACTAACAAAAATAAGTAGACATGAGTCCCGCGAAAATGGATCATAAATCGTACTATTTCATTCAGTGTTATTAGGAAATGTCCATTACGATTTATAATTGTAAATTATTGAATGGAAATAAGGTCGATTGAACAAGCGCCTAACAAACTTTCAACATGCATTAATGTTAACTATACAAGTAAAAATAACACCAAGTTTATTTTTACTCAATTACTATTGATACGGCGTTGATCATACATTTATTAGATTCATTTAAAAATCAGTCACGATTCATTCGATGCATATGAAATTAGAAACAAAAACATATACTATTTTAATATACATATAGGTGATAAAAGTTTTTCCCGGCTTCTCTGGCATATAGTTAAATTGTATGACTGTCAACGATTATGACATGATCACTGTGTTGTTTATGACACGTTTGGAATAGCGATATTCAACGAAGATAAAATCGGCGCGTCAACTGCGGTGCCTACCGTATCCAATCTGAACTTATTATTAGTACGTGTTATATCGAGCCGCCAATATGGCGGCGATGCGATGAAACCCGCGCGTCAGACAGGATAATCAACTCAATGTGAATTCGTGCCGAACTGTTGAGGCGCGTTCAGCGACGGGTTCAGAGTGTTCAGATGCGTTGTTTTGTAAGAACGCGCGCGCGCGCGCGTACAAGGTAGCCTGCGCCGATTTGCTGCAAACCGTCGAGCTTCCCTCTCCTCTCTCCTCTTCTCCTCTCTTCTCGTCAGTTTGTTTCTTCGTATCTAACTTCTCCTTCGTTGCACACCATTACCACCTTTATCCGCTTCCTTCCCCCCCCCCCCCCCCCCCTCTTCTCTTCTTCTCTTCTTCTCTTTCTTTCGAACTATTTTACTTCCAACGTTGCATTTCCTTTATCAAAGATCGAAGGGTTCACTCTTGGCGCATGGTTTTTAGTTATACAAGAAATATACACAGCAAACGCCCTTCAGGCAGAACCCAATAAAACAAAAGTAATCGACAGGGATATACATACGTATGCCGGATTTGTTGGAGAGGGAGGAAGTAGAGAAGGAGGCCAAATTGAAATTAAGTCAACCTAACGTGCACTCAAGTATGAGTAGGGAGCCAATCCGCTCATAGCAAGTATTGTCGGCGCAGGCGCAGCTCGAACATCACCGTACAACTCTGCTCTGTCTCTCTCTCCCCCCCTTTCTCTCTTTCTCTTCTTTACCCCTTTTTCTTTTCCTTTTCCTTCTGTTCCCTTGTGAACGAACATCTCTTTCTCACCCATTTCCACCAACTAATTCTCTTATTTTCTTTTTTTTTTCCTGTTATCCTTGTTCTAACTTCTATCCCTCCCAATTTTCCTTCATTCTCTTTACCACCCCTCCAATGTTCTACGGTTTCCCTCAGTCCTTGTAATTCTCCAACAAAATCGTCAACGTTAACTATCCAATTGCCACCTGTCAACCATTGCATCTAAAAGCTCTGCAGCCATAATTATTTATAGTTAACGTACCGATATCGTCAACATCATGGTAGTGTTATACACATGTAACATTTCAACTTCATACATTGAAATTATACATAAATTTAGAAAATAGATTTTATAGTCATTGTTCGAGACTTTTGTTTTAAAACCATTTTATTCTTGTTGTAGCTACATATATAACACGGAATTGAAATATAATGTATCTTTTCAGGTTTTAACCTCTTGTGTTGTGTTTTATCCTCATACTTCATTCAGGGGAAGAAGCGTCGATAAGAAGTTTTCCGGGTATAGCTTTTCCATTGAAAATCAAATATCAAAACGTATACCTGAAATAACCGGTTTTGTCAAGAAAATATATGTATGTATGTGAACGAGGCGTGGCAGGAATGGTTGGAGGCCGAAAGGAAGGAATATAGTAGGGGAACTTAACGGAACATGTCGAAAATTGCCGAATGAAGCTTCTATTGATCGCAACAGGTTCTTCACTGTTTTCTATTGGGATACTCACCAATTCAACTTTGAAATCCTATATTTAGCTTGCGAAACTTCATATTGTTTTATTAGCCTATGTTAACCCAAAATTCAATAACATAGTAATACTTTTTTTTATCATTTCCAGCTTGTTAACGTCAATGTTGAGTATTGTGACCTTGAAATAGTTAAGTAATTTAATGAGCCAATTGTTGATTCTAAAATCAGGTAAGATTCATATTTCTCTTCATTTACTTTTATATGATTAAAAGTTGTCAAAAAAACTAACTTTTTCAATATTTATTTGGAGTATATTTTTACCACTTTATTCGCGGCGAATAAAATTGAAGCAAGCAATGAAATAGTTAAATGTAGATTAATATTCCCATTTCAGGAAATACTTAACTATTGATTTCATCCCTACCATGAAATCTCTGTCCTTTGGTTAGATATTTCTACTAGTATGCGCTGTAGTCGTACTAGTATGCGCAGAAAGGTAACCGCTTTTATGGAGAAGACGAGTTCACCACGATATAGTAGCGGCTTAACTTGATGCAAGGAGAAAGGGGATACTTGGATACGTTCGTTGACCCAACATCTCTGACTACTCCTCCCTCTCCATTACTACCTCCCACAAATCTAGTTTCACTGCGAGTTGCGCACAACTTTCTAAGCTCGATCCTCTTTTAACGAGGCTTATTCAAGTTATACTCATTGTATGTGTAGTAGGAGCAGAAAAAGAGACATCGGTAAAAGCTTCAGTTAACTTGTAGCATCTTACAAACCTGATCTAGGTGTTATCAATAAGATAATTTGTATTTTTAAAGTTGGATGAAATTTGTGATATTACTCAAATCTTTCTACGAAATTGCTATTCATTTTTGTTACTGTTATTACTGACTACACATGTCAGCTTTACCCCTATCAAGAATATTTACAAGAGAAAGAAGTGGATATAATGGTATACTTGGCAACACAGGGGATGCCTCCATCCATTTCTTTAGTTCTGCCACGTTACACAGAATTCTATTCTTTTCTTTTATTTTTGACTAATGCAATTCATGCTGTACAATACATCATCAATTGTATTATAATAAAATAAAAGAATGTGATAATTATGATTGATAACAATATTCATTGTTAAAACAATTTATCATTCCTTTCAAAATTATACTTTTTATCTGGAATATTTGCCAAATTTACATTATTTAAACTAAATTAAATCTTAAAAGTGGTACTACCCGTTATTAGGATATTTTTATTCCGTTTAATTAACTTGATTTAAGTGAAATGAAAACCAATTTGATACTTCATCCAATTAATGTTATTTACTGATTTTTCTTGCACAGGTAAATTGCAATTTGACCTCGTTTGTTGACCTCACTGGTTGCTAGGTTCCAAGTCATATTGCCGGGTGGGGGGGGTAAAGCTTTAGCGACGTTGCCAAATAGCTTAATGTTAAAAATATGCAGTTAAAATATATGATAAAATTTCTGTTATTAGAAAAAATGGTAATTTACCATAAATATTTCATGACCTATTTACTGTAACACATCTTATTACGGATTTGTTTAATTTTAACATAATAATAAAGATATATTTAGGTCATTAAAACTTGTGTAATATAATATGTCATTCAGAATTTATTTTATTAAGCACAGTGATACTGAATATTATTAATTACCGTATCACGATATTTGAGTAATAGCAGTTATTATTGTTTTTAATCATTGATATCGTTATTATTAATAGTTTGTCATATTTTATTAATCATATTTATATGAAGTTTAATTACTGCTTTTAATCAAATGTATGTAAGTATGTATGTACAATATGTGTATATGTATATATATATAAAATACAAATTGAGTATTGTTGAGTATTCAGTGCTACCAACGGAAAGAAACGCCTTGCAAAGTGTTATTATACGAAACGAAATATTTTAATTAAAAAGTACATAGATATGTGCATATGTATATACATACATACATGAATCAATTATATATTTACGTTAATTAAAAAAACATTAATGATTTGTTAAAGAATGAATTTTTTATAATCACTTATATTATATTCTTAAATTTAAGCTGACAACACCTAACATGAATTTTTTAAATTGCAAATTTATAAATGACACATTCTAATAAACATCTGGGTTAGAAATTAACTGCGTATATAATAGAATATTAATAAACATAAATACTGACTGTTAGTAATTCCGGAAAAGAGGTTATTTTAGCACTTGTAATACCCTATTATATAGTTATACTAATATTGTAGCAAGTTGATAAGTATTATTTTACACTAATTTATTAACAAGAGTTCATTATTCATCAATGATGGATATAATAGTAACAAATACAACTAATATTACTGTGATTTGAATACTAATGGTGTTCCATGTAACAAAACTAACTATATATGAAATTAATTAGTGTATTATAAACAAAGGATATAATCCATAACCATGTTTGGTACTTTGCGCAATAAATTTCAAACTGTACAAGAAGGTATATCAGCTAGGTAAAGAATTTTTGTAAAGGCAGTTTATTACCTATTTTACATGTATACATCCTATATTGACTTAATAATTTTAGTATTCGAGGGTTAACAGTTGTTGAAAATCCAAAACTTAAAAAATCTGTCAATATAAGGAATGTTAATTATGATGCTGGAGCTGACATCTTACACAGATTTCAATTACAATGGAATGAATTGCACGAGCTTGCAGAAGAGAATGCAGGGAAAGCACAAGAGGCTAATAATCTTATAGGAACCATTTATGAAAGACTGGAAGAAGAATGGAAAAATATTACATGTTTAAATAGTACATTAGCTCATATTCCAAAAATCAACAATGCGATACAAGATCTCATGGATCAAATAGGTACTAATAAAATAAGTACATTTTTCAATATAAGCTTACTAAAAAATGCCTATTATTGTTAAAGGAACATTACAAGAAATGTTTGAGGAAGTAGAAGGTGCTATATATAGATTAGAAGATTTGAATGAAATGTTGGACTTACAAAATAGACAATTGGATCATAGATTTCAATTAGCTTTATATAAGGAAAAGAAACTTGCAGAGTTAAATATTATTAAAGGTATCGCGTGTAATGTTTAAATTGTGTTAACTGAATTTAGATGGAAGAAATACTTAAAGTATATATTAATTTTAGCAAAATTAGCCAATGAGCATATTGAAAGAGTATCACAATATGAGCTTAAACAACAGAAGATGATGAAAGAAAGAAGAGAGACATTTGAAGAGGTCTTTAAAGAAGAACTTAAAGAATATAAAGAAACAGGATCCATATCCAGTATGTTATAATATAGTTGAAAATAAGAAATTAACATTATTTGTTGAAATATCAACCAATTTATTTTCATTTTATAGAGTTACCAGTCACACAACAAGGGCCTTCATTGGATGAAATAGTTCTAGATGTAGATTCGGCTGTATTCGATAAATTCTTAGAAAATTAATACTACTCATACCATTTTAAATATTTCTAAATATAAAAATAAATAATCTTTAATTACTATATAAAACTGATGTGTATATACAAATTATACAAAAAATAAAAAGTATTTTAGGAATATATAATTTTTATATTGACTTTTGTAGTTTTATCATATTATGAATTATCCATCTTAAATTAATACAGTGCATGTTGTTAGTGCAACATTTAATTATTGATAAATGATAAAACACGATACTTATTTGTTTTTTAGTATTTTAATTGTAGAGGGCCGCGAAGTTCGTTTCTAACCTAAAACTTAATGTGATCGGTAAGTGAAATTCTAACCATTCCATAGCATATCGTGTCCGCTTATTTTTTAAACTGGTATAGTTATAGGTCAAACAAAATATTGTTTTTTGTGCTATTATGTTTGATTATAGATTGATCTTTCTTCTGTAGTTAAATAAGTATATATTTTCTAGATGTATAAATAATATTCTAACGTTTTCTAATTCATACAATAATTTTAGATAAAAATGATACCAAAGTATAAACAAAGGAGTTACATCTTGGATAAGATGCAAAGAGGAGTTGTAAACGTTTGTATGGCTGCTACACTGATTGCTACTTCAGTTTTAATATATCAAGGATTTGATTACTATGTACATATCCGACCGGCTTTGAAAGAAGTGCAATTAAAAGCTAATGAAGAATTGTTAGAGGAAGGGAAATATGCAGCAACCAGTTAAAGTAATAATTCATATTACATTATAAGCATAAATTATAATGAAATAAAAATTAAAATAAATTTACACTGCTATCATTTCATATCCTTTAATATATTCTTATGAGGTATGTTCCAAATATAGTTTATATTAATTTAGAAAATTTAACCAACAATTTCAGACAGAAATACGTATTTATATGGATGAAATTTCATTTATATGTATCTCTGTCTTGTTTTATTTAGGAAATCATAGGTCAATGCAAAAAAGTATATTATAAGACTAAGCCCTGAATAATTTATCAGATTGGACAAAAGACAAATGTGCTTTTCATTATATTTTTATAGCACATTTTCATCTACAAATTTGTTATAGGCTGTGTTAAATAGTTTTATTATTTTAAATGAATATCGAGTACAAGGGATATGAAAGTACTGCACATTTTATAGATACAAGTGTTTTCTTTGTTAAAACATCTTTTTTTTTTAATCAAATAAAATAACTGCCAATCTATGTATTATGAGTACAAAATTAAATTAATGTATCAAATAAATGCTTATAGATTAAATGTTGTATTTACATTGCTGATCACTGCAAAGATGTAGTAACAATACAAATATCATACTGATACTTTTTTTTTTTTCCACTTCATTGAACACATTTCACATTCACAAAGTATCACATTAAACTGGGAATATTGTTCTACTTGTCATTCAACATCAGGTGATGCTTTGTATAAATAACAGAAATATATATACTTTTTTCCTCTTAAAATGAACAATTCCTTAACTAAAACTTGAGTCACTATAAATACAAGGATGATGTTTGTTAATAACTAAAATTTCATGTTATAAAATTTGTATATTAAATAAACATTCTATGTTTAATATTTACACGTATGCAAGTTGAGTGCACATGATACATTTACAAAATATATGGTCGAGAGTTAATTGCATTGCTTCAGATGTCCTATGTCTCAATTTGAAATTGTCGTGCACATAAATTACTGTTTGTCACAAAGGATAACATTTTAAAAATGCTGAATTTTATTCTTTTTTCGAGATTATTTCTCAAGTCTCACGAAAGGCAATGGTTTTTGTACAGCTTCCAAAAGTAATTTTCGAGTACAAAATACATCATATATACGCCGGGTAGTTTATATACAACAAGATAATTTTATCTTTTCTCGTGTAATGGACATAATTTGTACTCAGTTTCTTGATCATTCTTCTATTTAAAGAACGTTATTTTAGAGCGAATTTTTGAAAATGATATACTTACATTTTTTAAAATAAAAGAGAATCTACAAAATTTATTTCTATTTACATTTGTAAAAGTCAATCAGTGTAAGACTTACCGCAATGAAGCATGTTTTATACATGTACATGCATATGTTGTCAATATGGTAGATTAAAATTAAAAAAGAATTCAATAAAAGCTATGCTTTTATTCGAAATGTCAACATAACTATTTTATCTACCAAAATGTAGTACGGAAGTTATAGTCTTACATAGATCGATTTTGGAATCATGTTGGTACAATTTAAAGTATTAAAACTGATTAATCAGTATATTTTGTTCTATTTGAAAAGAAAGATATTTTTATGAAGTTAAATGAAAAGAGGAAAACTATTTATTTCTATAAAAACATCTTATGTTTTTTTCTTTTTAAAATCTTAACTCTATAATCTGAATACTTGCACAAACCCTGTAGCCCATGGGCTGCAACTTGAAATTTCGAGAGGGTGAAAGTCTTAAACCATAAACATTTACGAGCTATTAGACGTAGGATTAGAATTTGACAATGATTCCACGCGCATTGAATCAATTCTTGCAACGATTTTCAATGCGGGACCCAATTTAATGCTCATTGCCGACATAAGATGGTCTTCTTTCAGCAACATAAGTGCTTGACCATCTATCTCTTGAATGGCAAAGTCTTCTGCATAATCGGCACAACCTGGTAATCCACGTATGAAATCGCATACTTCATTGACCTGTATAAAATAAAAGATTAATTTCATCGTTGCAGTTACGTCAAATTATGCGAGTTAATTTACGTTAATTCTTAATAATACTTACCGTCCATTTCACAGGATTAACCTTCGGCAGTGTATCGTCAATGGAAGAAGTAGTTGTAGTCGACAATGATTTCTCTTCTCCGTTTTTCTTCATCGCATCTCCTTCATTTTTCGAGTCAGTCTCTATTTCAGTCCACTGTTTCTCACCACCGTCGCGATCTCTCTCACGTTTTTTGCTCTTTGCACAACCAGAGGAACAGAATCTCTTTTCTTTCTTTAATTTAATATTTTGCTCGTCTATTAAATTACCACAACCTTCACATTTTCCAATTTGAATATTATTTATATCTTCGTCGTTGGGATAATTAGGTGCATGTTTCTTTCCTATAAAGAATCAAGTATTTAACTTGCTTTATATTTATTATTAATAAAGAAAAGAACAGAAATATTATGGCACAGATAATAAAATTGTTGAATCTTACTCGGAGGTTCATCGTGATTTTCCTTTTCGGAGGACGAATTATTACGATTTAAAATATTACTCGTATCTTGATTAACTGTATTATTTAACGACGTACGGTTAACAGCAAATGGTTCAGATGCTAAAATATTAATTTTATTAATAAATTACAATCAATATACGAAAATTAATGAAATTTCTACCTTCTTGTATGACAAAGCCCTCGATTACGTGTGTAAGGACTTGCGGTTTGACCATTGCTTTTGGAGGCACATGTTTACTGTTTGCAGTAACTGGTACAGAAACAGGAATTGCTACAGATTCTTCACTAGCTATACCATTAGTGATAGAATTAATTGTATTTGCTAATCCTGCTAAAGGATTGTTACAAGATTTATCATCTGCCTTTGAAACTGAATTATCTTCTTCTTTTATAGGTACTTTACATTGGTCCGCATCTATGTATAATAATTTAGATTTATTAACGTTCCATACACATTGGTCTTTTGAACACAAACCTGTAGTTTCGGGTTGAGGTATTGAAACTTCTTCGATCGTGACTGGTAGCGAGTCTTCTTTTTTCAAAATCTGCTTAGAATTGTCTTCATTTGTAATTGGTGTACTAGCAGCGGATGGTAATATTAAAGAGCATTCAGCTTGATGACTACGATCCGGTGAGGTAATCATTATTGTAGGATTATTTTCATGTGTTTGCTGATCCATTGATTGATTTATCATAGACATCGTCTGAACTTGTGACGTTCCGCTAACTATTTGGTTACCAATTATTGTCGAATTGATTGCCTAAAAAAGAAGTGAGATTAACGGGATATTCAATGAAAAATACACAACGTTTATTACCTGTAACGGTAACTGCTGAACTGCAGACATAGGAGATTGTGGTACTTGACTCATTTGAGACGTAGTAACTCCAACTCCTCCTACCGATACCACAGGCATTATTGGGCGTTCACCACCTAGAACTACACCTGGTGGTGGTGGTGGTGGTTGTTGTTGTTGTTGTTGTTGTTGCAGAGCCATATTCGCTGCAAAAAAAATGAATAATTAGTAGATATACAAAGATCCATGTAAAATTCTGCAAAACATAAAGAATCATCCTACTCATTATTGGTTTCGGCTGTATTTGCTGCTGTTGCGATGCCTGCACTTGCTGCTGTTGATATTGCTGCTGCATCTGGTGTTGCTGCTGCGTATGTTGTTTCTGTTGAATAAAAACCTGTTGATGTTGTTGTTGCATCGTTTGCTGTGACTGTTGTTGAGGTTGTTGCGGCGATTGCAGTGGTTTAGCACGGCCTTTACCGCTACTACCGCTTCCTTTTCCACTCTATGTTACAAAACATAAAAGAAAAACTTCTTCTTCATTATGCGAAAACAAAAAGAAAAAGCTTCGATATGGTTTTTTACGTGATTCGAGAAACGCAGCAATTGAAATCTTTTCTCCAACTACTGTTAATCATAGTAACCTGTACTTGTACTCCGTGAACAGTTTGCGTGGAAACTGAACTCGCTGCTCGTATATTGGCAGCTTGTACTGCGTGTAGAGAGGACGGCAAAATACTCAAAGGTCGTTGTCCGCCTGTGCTCTGTTTACCCTGTTGCTGCTGTTGTTGTTGTATATCCATTACCTTCGGTTTTCCACTAGCTGCAGCTATCTGTTGCACTCCCTGAATTTGTTGCTGTGTAGCCAGTGCTGTATAAATATAACAGTGATGAATTAATCTGACGCAAAGGACCAAATCTCATTTGATACGAGAATATGAAATTCACCATTATGAGCTTGAATTGGTTGTGGACTTTGTATAAACATATCAGGTTGAGTAGGACCTCTAATGAATATCTGATTAGTGAGAAGCGCTGGTGACTGTATTCCAGTCCAAGCAACTTGGGGTGTGAATTGCCAGGGAGCAAATTGCATACCACCCCTTCCACCGGATGGTGCAGCTGCTGTACATGTAGTATACTAGACATTTCAAAAATTAAGTTATACACGTATTCTAAATACATAAGAATAAATAATCAATTGCTACAAAATAAGGTCACCTTTTGTACTTGATCTTGTTTACTTGCAGCCTGTTGTTGTTGCTGTTGTTGTATAGATGGAGGAGGTTGCGGAGAACCCAATACACCAAGTTGACCAAATACTAGAGCCTGTCCTGCACCAGGTGTAGCAGAAGTAGGTACCGGTAAGTAACCTGTTGGAAAGCCTTGTACTTTAGTTCCACCAGCTGCTGGATGTCCTCCACCTTGACCCGGTGTTGATGCGGTGGTCAACATGTGAGGTGTCAACTGAGCAGCTGATTGAAATGGTTTTCCAGCTGTTATAACCTGTAAAGTGTCTTACTTAGTAAAAAAAATTTATACGCTTTTACAATACTTTCGGTATCGCACGTATCTTCAAGTACCTGTATAGAAGAGGGATTAATGCCTGCAGGATGAAGAGCTAAATTTCCTTGCATTATTAATGGAGTTCCTTGAGTATTATACAGTTGCTGTAAATGATATGCTTGATTTTGCATAGGTTGCTGAATGACTTGTACTGCTTGGGGATGTGCAGCCATTGTAGTTATGGTTGTTGCTCCTTGTTGTCCAGACAAGGTCATAGACACACCACCAACTCCTTGTTGTTGATGTTGCATCGATACTGCAACAGCTCCTTGTTGCTGAGGCATAATTGCTGCTACCTGTGGTTGCACTTGCACTTGAGTAGGAACAACATTATGGGGTCCATTATTAGACTGTTGCTGCTGAGACTGTTGCTGCTGCTGCTGCTGCTGCTGCTGTTGCTGCTGCTGCTGCTGCTGCTGAACTTGTTGTTGAACTTGCATTTGCTGTTGTGATTGCACTTGTTGCTGCATTTGTTGTTGCGGTTGAACTTGTTGAGACTGTACTTGTTGCTGTGCTTGCTGTTGAACTTGTTGTGATTGAGATGACTGTTGCTGAACATGCTGCTGTTGCTGTTGTACATTTTGCTGCTGTTGAATATCATGGGTAGCAATCATCATTTGTTGTGGCTGAGATTGCTGCTGTTGCTGCTGCTGGGGTTGCGATTGGGATTGCTGCTGTTGCGGCTGTTGCTGCTGTTGTGGCTGTTGTGCTTGTTGCGATTGATTTTGAGAGATTCCAATTGATTTAACATCTGTCATGTTTCCCTACACCTTTTTATGATTCGAAGTTAAACTTCCTTTCTACAAAGAAGTATTCTTCCTCCTATTATATGCTCACTAATTCTAGGTCTTTTTTCCTTGCCATTGTTTACAGATATTCTTTATTAAAATATCACTTTTAACCTTTTTAATTTACTGCACCTGAAAAGAAAAAAATATTTTCATTTAATAATCATAACAAGGTGCATAAATCTATAAATAAGAAATAATACCATATTTAGTTCTTTTGTAAATGAAAATCATAATCATTTTTGTGCTACAACATTTATTTATATACAATCATAATTCATAAAATTTATTGACATGTACTTTGTTCTTTTTATACATTTCTATAGATAAAAAGTCATTGTATACAAATGTTTGTTATCGATCTACCAATCACGATATATTTATATCGTACAAAATATATGTACAAGAAAGTGATGCAATATTTACTGCCCATAACCTTAATAATTTTAATACACGTGGAAACATCGGGATTGGAACAAGCATTTTCTCGGTCCTTATTGTCCGGAATATTAATAATAAAGTGTAAAAGTGAGGTGTGCATATTGGCAAATATTTATTGAGGATGTAAGTGTTTGACGATAAACAATTGGTTTCGTATATTCAGTATGTTTAATGTACAAAAATTAAGTTCTTCGTGTTTCCTGGTTATATATATATATATACATGTATATTGTATATGTATATGAAATTCGGCATGTGAAACTTTTTGTGTTTTAATAATGATATATTAGAAATTAAATATAAAATTTCCGGGTATAATTAGTGGTTCTTTTAATATTTTATAAATACTAATATGAATCTGTTTTGCATGGAATGTTTTCATGAACTTCAATCTTACACTATTATATATATATATAGATAACCTTAAAAGGTAGGTTGTACATAAATAGATATTTTATGAAACTGTTGCTGTTATTAAATAATTATTATCAGCAGAATTATATTATTAATTGCATCAACCAAACAAATATCACCTTACAATTAAAAAGAAATAAAGTGATCAACTATTGGAAAAATTAATATCGAGAAAAATATTTTTTATTTCTTAAGCATATTCACAGTAACATAAGGAAAACTAGTTTTTGTTGCAAAATTTATAATTATTCCTTCTTGAAATCAAAGAGTATGGAAAACAGTAGTAAAACAAAGTAAACAATTGATTCTAATAATCATTGGTTAACCTATCACTTGTACACAAATTGTAATATCTTATATTCATAAAAATACGTAACATAAATAATTATTAATCTATTCTAGAAATTCTGATAACTATAAAATACAGGCATATCGAATCAATTATGTACGCTTAAAAAAACAAAAGGTATAACGAATGCGTTTGTTTAATAGAGAGGTTGTGAAGTGTTATGAGATGTATGTAACAATTTATTAATGAGCTGGATGAAAATCAAATTATTATACGCATCTTGAAAAGATAAGTACTACGTAAATTCATAATAAATACAGAACAAATGAAATGCATCTCAAATGATAAAGAAGAAATCTGTATTCGTGCATAAGCATTAAAGATATCAAACAACTGAAAACATGTGATCCATCTTGGATTTTGAGTGGAAGAAACAAAATGTCGTCTCACTAGTACGACAATAATTAGTATAATGACGAGGGGTTCCAAGAGAAAGAGGGGTTACATATCACTGAGCGGGAAATACGATTGAAAGGCGGGTTGAAGGGGGCGGCAGGCGAAAGGGGGAAATAAAAATAAGAGAAGGGGAGAAGCGATCGTACCAGGGGGCGGTTGACAACATGGATTTCGCCATAATGGTAATAACGAAGATGATGATAATAACAACACACGCGGTTCTTCGGGAATTGTCTGTTCGATGCTTATTTGCTAAATAATTGAAGCAGGCAAAGTAAAAAAAGTCGTGTCTCGACAAATGCAGAATAGCGTCCCTCACGCCGACATATTGGATTACAAAATAAAGCACGTTCGAAGATCCGGCGGGACGTAATGTACAGTGTGTTATAATACTTTCTATCTTTGCTGGGTATTCATCAAGTATTTATGCAGGACCTAATGTAAAATTAGCGTTAAATCTTACCAGTATAAATAACAAGGAAATTAAATATATTAAGAGGATACAAGACATTGGTATATAAAATTTTTGATACTCGTTCAGGTACTCACATGGCGACTGCGCAGTCACACCTATCACGTTTTCGAACACGCCGTAGACACTGTCACTACACAATTGCACCTCAAACCCAATCAAACTTCTTATCATATACCCCTGTTTTTTGTATGTCTATAAAAAGAAAAAAACCACTAATTATTTGAAACAAAGTTTCGTTACACGTTGACGTCGCAAGGTTTCCTGAGCAGTCGTAGTCGCATTCGTTGTCTGCTTCCCTGCTCCCACACGATCTACAAGAGAACCCCTCTGTTCTCTCTGTTTCCCCCTTTCCGCCCCTCGTCGCCCATCAAACCATTTACTCCCCACCAATTCGCTCGCTATAACCTCACCTCTCCCGACGCGTATCGCAAACTCGTTCTCTCATTGGTCCAGCGAGGACAAATCCCAAAGGCATCGTTTGCACCGTGAAAGGCGGGGCCATTGGATATGGTGGCTGCAGGCGCATGCCCCGTAACGGTACTCATACTCTTACTTCAACACACGCGTGCAGTCTTCGCTAACACAATCATATTCCTCGTGATGCACGTATACGTGATTATAGTCTGCAGAATATTTCGCAGTATAACTCCACGATACCATCAGGGACGAATATAGTCACCTTGTTGCCCTGTTGCATCGAGTAACGTCACTGAACTTGTTAATTGTGTAATTATAATACAGGGACCTATTGGCGAACATACATGTTCTAGAAGTAAATATATACGATCCCTTATCATATTGCTTGTGATATCAAATCTTTTCATTATATTTCTTCTTTTATTGTTGAAATTAAACTTGATATAGAATATTTGAAATAACGTAAATATGCTTTTACGATTGAAATTGCGATATTGCATCATTCTTTTTGTTTCTTTAAATGTAAAGTCTACTAATTGTCTTTTTAGTGAAATAACTACTTATAATTTAGTTAATTAGAAACATCTTAATGAGATTAAAAGATATTTATATCACGAATATCATGTATGCAACGAGATATATAGTTATCGTTCGTTAACATAATTGTGTTTAAAATACAATTTTCGCAAATTGTTCAATTTTATATACATATATTCGTTTCGACCCAGAATTTCAAGAACACGTGTTACGTTCCTGACACAGCTGTTTCTAAGTTGAGTTTATGCTGCCCTGCTCAAAACCCCGTAATGCTATTTCGTTTGCCATTGGTCATTTGCGTTTGTGTAGAAGATATTCAATCAATTCATAAACATCGTTTTATAAACCTATTCGATAAAAATTCAAAAATAATATTCGTCTTTTCATCTAGGAGAAATTAAAAATATTTCGCGTTTGTTTTAAATCACGGAAGCCATGATTCGAAGAATATAAGTACGCATACCTTATATAGTACATATTATCATGGTATAATATCGATTACAACTTCAACATTTTTAACATTTTTCTTATAATTATTCATAAATCGATTTTAATTAACATAAAGTATCGCTACTAAAAACCATCTTATGCTACAATTTTTAATGTCAGCTGATACACATTATTTGTATTTGTATTAAAAAAAAAAAAAAAAAATGTTATTACTTTTTTAACATTTAATATTTCAATATATATATATACGTAAGTACGTATTAATTAAGTTCTTTTAAAGTATTACAATTTAGGGTGAAAAGCTAGAAAAGATCTACGGTAAATCGCTAAACATAACCGATTTATCGGTCATCTTCCAATACCGTCCACAGATTTCGACAAAGAGAGCTAGAGATGGTAGGATGTTTTGTGCAGAGGGTAGGAAGAGTCGTGGCCGCGCCAATCCCAGCAACCACGTTCCCTATATAGTGGCATGTTTCTAACATATATTTTACATCCATGTAATTGTGTGAGTGAAACGACCAGCGACAGTCTATAGTCCTCATCACGCAAGGTTAGGAAAATTACAATATTCCACGGAAGGAGTGTGTGGCGGCTTGCGTAGTTTGTTGTTCTACCGATAGAGCGTGCAAGGGAAAAAGGTGGGGGAAAGCGACAGCCAATGGTTTAGGTCGAGCGGGGTTGCCAAGGTAACAAGTTAATGATTCGAGCCGCCACTGAGAAATTAGCTTTACTCCGTGGCGGTGTCGCGCATGCGTTCTTCCATGGAAACTCGTACCTTTGTATTTTTCGTCTTCCAATATACATACATACACATATATGTATGTGTATAGCAACATTTCACATCTGCACACTCTTCCTTGGTGTGTAAGTTGATTGTGTATTTGTATTCGTATTCGAATTTTGTTGTGTGCAACTACACACACGTTGTTACCTGTGTGCAGACACGAATGTACGTGGGTGTATAGCGAGTCGAGGAGGCGCGTGTTTCACACATGAGCACCTCGAGTAAAAGGGACGTCTCCCATACACACATACAGAAAGACGTAGAATGATTTAGCCCTCGCGACGATTGGTTCTCTTCCCACTCCATAGTCTCGTCTTGGCATCTCTGTTTCCCATTCGCGATGTCTTCTTTCCCCTTTCCATCAGAGATACGCATCTTTGTCCTTCCTTGTTATCTCTCTTTTTCGTTCATCCAGTCGCTTTGCGCTTTCGACCCCTCTACCCCTGACCTTATTTTCCCCACCGCCGCGCCGTGTCGTTGGATCGTAATTCTACCACACGTCGTCGCGAATCCCCTTGATCAACAGGGGGGAGGGAGCTACGCGCAAGGAGGAGGGGAGCTGCCCATCAAGATTCATCCTGGATTATAATATTCGATGTCCGTCGATCGGGCATCGGAGGCGAATTAGTGTGTAGAAAATGGAAGCAGCCGGGGGCACACATAATTACGCCACGCCTGGTTTTTAGCATGCGACCACGATTATTTGACCAGTCATGAAATTTTATCCTTGTTCCCTCTACTTCCAACACTTTTTATCCTCCTTTCTATGTATCTTCTTTATTATCGCGTTTAGAATTTTACTTACTTACTTACTTACTTACTTACTTACTTATTACCTGACTTGTTTTTTCTTTGCACTATACCTACTTACATGATATAAGATACGCGATCTGTAATTTACTAGATAAACAATACATAGTCGAGTAAAGGTCTAATAATAGCATTCGATTAGTTAGATATGAAATCGACGTACGATACGATAAACGTTCCCACTGAGATCTATCGTAACGATCTGAAATACTCAAGAATCAAACGGGTACCATCCTTTGACCGCGTACCTACCTATGTACCTATATTTATATATTCCAATTCGAACAGCTTCCTTGACCATCGTTTGATAAACAAAATTATTCTTCAGTTTAAGGATACAAATGTCACTAATGAAAATCAGGTTCAACGAGAAGAAATGAAAAGCTAGGGTCGCGTCGTGTTTCAGCGATTAATGGAAGCCGCACTGAGAGAGCTGTTTTGTTTGTTCGCGGATTTACAACGGGCCGTTTAAAGATGTCTTCTTTCTTTATTTCCAGAAGATGTGTTCGCGAGTTTCTTTTCGCGGGTTTCTTAGCGCGTCGAACGTTCGCTGTTTCTCATCGAACGCGAAACCGCAGTTTACCGCAGATAGATACAAGGTAGAACGGGGCCCTTATGCAAAAATTTCCAACGAACACGTAGCATTTTTTAACGAACTCCTTGGACGTAGCAGAGTGATCGTGGATCCTGATGAATGCGAGAGTTACAACATAGATTTCTCGAAAATCGTCAGAGGTAAGTGGAAGCGATCACCCGTGATGATCGTCGATCTTTCCAGTTTTTTGGAGCCAATCATCGGCCGAATTCCACTTACAGGGAAAAGCAATCTCGTGCTAAAACCAAAAAACACGAACGAAGTGTCTTCTGTATTAAAGTACTGCAACGAAAATCGCTTAGCCGTTTGCCCACAGAGCGGAAACACCGGCCTGGTAGGAGGCAGCGTGCCGGTGTTCGACGAGATCGTTCTTTCCATGAAACTCATGAATAAGATCATTGAAACGAATGAGCTGGAAGGTTGGTAGCCATTTTCGATGATCGTTGAAAACGATCTTATTCTTTTAGTTAGGTAAGTGCTTAAAAATTTCCTACGATCCTTGCGAGGCTAGGGGTGTTGACCTGCGAAGCCGGTTGCGTGCTCGAAGACCTGGAGAATCATTTGGCGACGGTGGGTTTGATGATGCCGATCGACCTTGGTGCCAAAGGCAGTTGTTTAATCGGTGGTTGCGTGTCAACGAACGCCGGTGGTCTGAGGCTTCTTCGTTATGGCAATCTACATGGGAACGTGATGGGTCTTGAGGCTGTAAGTTTGAAAAGCAAATTGATAAAGATCTTGTGACGATTCCGTAATTTTTATTTAGGTGAAAGCAGACGGATACGTGGTAGACTGCTTGAACACGCTGAAGAAGAACAACACCGGTTACCATTTGAAACATTTGTTCATAGGCTCCGAGGGCACCCTAGGAGTCGTGACGAAAGTCGCCATTCAATGCCCACCGCTTCCAAAAGCTATAAACGTTACATTCTTAGGTACGATAAGATCCTCAGATGTCTTCTTCGTTTGTTATTAGTATCTGTAACATTCTACCACTGTTTTTACGCAGGATTAAAAAGCTTTGATCAAGTGTTGAAAGCGTTTCGACTGGCGAAGAAGGAATTAGGGGAGATTCTATCGTCGTACGAGATGATGGATAAATTATCGTTGGACGTTTCGATCCAACAGTTTGGCTTGAAAAATCCATTGACGTCAAAGAGCGATGGACACGAGTTCTACGTACTCCTAGAAACCTCTGGAAGCAACGCGTTCCACGACGAAGAGAAGCTCGCCTCCTTCGTTGAAAAGGCCCTCGCCGAGGGCATCGTCGAGGATGGTACCCTAACTTCAGACCCCGCCAAAATCAAAGTTAGTCCTAATTAAGTAGAAGTATAAGAATCGTTTTGTTTTTTACTTTCTCTTTTTCTTTTATACATATAGAGTATCTGGTCGGTAAGGGAACGCATTAGCGAAGGTATACTTAGAGAAGGTTACGTTTTTAAGTACGATGTTTCAATACCTCTTCAGTCTTTCTATAAGGTGATCGAAGTACTCCGGGAACGTCTGCGTGATCCACGAATTATAAGAATCAGTGGTTACGGACATTTGGGTATGGTTGAAAAATCAGTTTCTAATAATCCTAATTACTTTGATGAACATTGTAATTTAGCTTTACTTCGATTTTTTTTCTTTGTTATTTAGGTGATGGAAACATTCATGTGCAAGTTTCAACAGCATCCTACGAACCGGAAGTAGCAGCTCAGTTGCAACCATTCATATTCGAGTACATTTCGAGTC